CATTGTAAGAAGTTTGTAGGTATTTAAAACTACACCCAAGCCTAAGCTGCATGAAGACAGGTAATTGCATATTTATATTCCACTGTAATACTTATGCACAAAAGTGCAGAGTTAAAGTTGCCATGGGAAACAAGCCTGAATTTCTTCACTTTTCAGCAATTCACGATCATCCTTAATAAAGGTTTTGGCAGGTGATTTCTAATGCACCGAGCTTAACAGCCACACAAAAACCATGCAAGAAAGCTGCTACGCAGGGATGTCTAGATAGAATAGGCAGGCACAGGCACACCTCCATTATCTGCCTCTAGGTAGGATTGTGACAATCTCTGTTACTGTGTGAGCCACCTTCTGCATTCCGATTCTGGCCTTCAGCTATGATTGCCTTGATACAGACTCCACAGAGCACCGCCTGAAAAGCACGCAGAAGATACCTTGCAGCAGACCAGCGGTCCCTCCGTAACTTCCTCCTGCAGCAGGCTTGTGATTTCCAGGACATACTCCTTCTAGAAAGTCCTCTGAGCCTAGGCTATAGCTCCCAAGGCAGCTTGCCTATCCCCTATTTACTCCCTCTGAGCTTGGAGGACTGCACATCTGTTGCTACGGCCTAAATTTGGTTGCAATCAACATCCATTCCCATTACAGGTTTAGTCTATAAATTACAGCATCTCAGGAGCAGAGACACATCGTTCAGTTGTCCCTGCCATGGGAACGAGACCACAGGTAGAGCAGTACAGGCAGCAGAGAGGCAGCGATCGTTGCAGCCACTCCAGCTGTGCCCGCCCATGACTGCGAGCCAGAACTGCAAGACAGATGGATGTTCAGAGGAAAACGCCTTTAATGCTCTTTTACACTAGCCCTCAAGGAAACACAGTGTGAACCCAATTTAACCTTGTTCGGCATTTGTACTGTCTTACAGAAAGGCTGGCTCCCATTTGTTAATATGCTTTTGCCAATCAGGAAATGTACTATGATCATCCACATTTGTTGTACACTTAAAAATAAATTAATAACTGAACATATGCTTGTCCATAGTCTCAGTGTTTATGGGTTTATGTTGAAATGGTGAGTAACATTCTGCATTAGTATGTCCAGTTTAATTTGACAGCAACTATAATTCAAAATTCCCAAAAAATAACAACGAAAATGCATGCTAAACTTGAAATACATAGGATACACTAAGAAAAACATCAAGCTATTTTTGTACTTAAAATGTGCTGTTCAAGAGAACAAGGAAAGTATTGTCTGTAAACAATTTATCCTTCTGCCTCTGGTCACAACCTCCTTTGGCAATTAGAAGATTTGAATATTTCATACCTTCCTCTTACAGAAAGTTTGGAAGAGGCAAATTTCTAATTCCCAACTGATTATCAAATTTGAGTTAATCTGAAACACTGAAGTCAAGTACCTGAAAAAAACAACATGAAAAAAGCGCAACGCCATCGTTACCAAAAGCTATTTTAGCAGGTTAGCAACTCCTGGGTCCAGCTCCTTCTGCCAGGTCAAGGGTCTGATACTCTTTTACACTTCCAGGCAGCAGACACACAAAGCTTGAATTTTATTTGGTTTTAATTTAAGTGGCTTTAATAGATTGCAGTATAGATTAACACCCTACGTAGAAGCCTAATTTCAAATTCAGCTTTGAACAGATCTGATTTCTACCTTCAGACTCTTTACACTGAAAAACATCATTGCTTTTCATCCACTCTGCTGAAGTTGAAGGCAAGATACTTGGCTTGCTGACCAAAAGAGGCACACCCACTCACTGCATTAATAAAATAAGGCAGCCACGGATCTGAGCCTGGGGAGCTCCTTAACACAGTCACTGAAAGCACTGACCACCGTAAACACTGATGTATACAAGGACAAAGGGACACAAGAGCAAGGCTCCCGCTTATTAATGCACCTTCTCTTGTGTAGCTAAAGCACCATATATACCCAGCTCTACAGGCTGACAATGAATAAAAGCAGCAGGTACTTACAAACTCTCAGCAGACAGTAAAGGAAAAAAAGTCGAGTTAGAGCTGAAAAATGAAGCATGCTACCACTGTCGCGGTCCAAGGTCCACCAACCTCCGTAGAACAACAGCTCCCACCTGACCCCACTAGGCTTTGGATCAAATTCCAAATGCACAAGGTAAGCTTTAAAGAGATGCGAGGGGCCAGCCATAAACACCCCTTTACTGCCAACCTCTACTAACCTTTGGCTGGCAAAACCACTACACAACACAGACTATGCCTCTATTCTTTCAGGTTTTCCCATCTATCCATCTGGGGCAATGCGGTTAAACCCCCCACCTTCTTTCCTCTCTCAGGTGGTTTCGTTATTCACAAATATATCCAAAGAACCCATAAAGCTAAGCTGCTTCTTTGTGCATATAAACATGTGCTTTGATTTAGGGGTATATTTGTTGAAAGTCATCAGAAGTCAGGACTGCAAGGATGCTACTGTTCCTCTACAGGTGTAGGGCAAGGAACACGAAGGACCCTCCATGCCTGACCTGGAAGTGGCAAAGCAAAGGGCAGCAACCACAAAGCACTCAGCTAGTGGCCCCAGCCACTGAAGCCACGATGCAGACAGCTTCCCAGGGGAACACTAGTGTCCTTGACCCTCCTTGATCCCCATTACAGAGGCCATGCTCTGAGACCTTAGAGAGAGATCTGGCCGTGTGAAAGGGAATGGAAATGAAGGAGTCTTCAGGGCCCCCGAATGAGCACGAAGGACTTCCCCAGGGATAAAGCCAGCAAGGCTGCCGGTTGCAGAAGAGCACGAGCAAATACAGTGTGAGGGGGAGCAGATGTGGCAGTCACACACACCTTAGCATAGATAAAAAAATAGCTCTTTCAGTAGTTTCTGGTAAGAAGCCACAGTATTTCCAAGAGCAGTTAGTGAGGAATGTTAAGTGTGTTACATGGTGGCAAGTGCACTCTGCAAGACTTTTAGACTGAGCTGGCTAAATTTAAAGCTATGCTTACCCACTTAAAGTAACGTGGACCACAACTTAGCTCTCTATGTGCAACTTCCTCATCAAATCCCAATGCATTTCAATTTCATTGTATCTAGACTTCTATTTTGCAGGTATTAAAAGCAGAAAAAGGACCAGGATGACAGTAAAGATCAGCACTTGACCATTCCTAGCTCCCAGGTCTGTCCTCAGACCAAACCTCCAAAACCTGCCTGCCACTGCTCCAGTGAAAGATCCTGCCACTAAAACCTTGCACAAAACATTATGGAAATACATGGCACAGTTTGCTCACCATGAGAAACAGGCCAGCAGTAAAGAGGACAAAAGCCGTGCTTGTCAGCAAAAAGGTAATATGTAGGTAGGTGATCAACTAAAGTCTCATTTCATAAAGTTGCCTGATTCTGGCATGCACCTTCAGCCTTTCCAGCTACACTGATTCCCATGTAGCAAGAGCCATTTCTTTATTTGTCAAACTAATTTGTTGGTGAGGATGTGAGGAACTGACAGCCCCTTCCACACACTGTATGATGCAGACAGGCATTGAACACAGAAGACTGGAAAAACAACACTGAAGAACATCTCCACCTTAAAGGTGCCATCTCACCAACAAAATATATAGCAGATGCGCATCAGCCCAGAGCATTACTTTCCCTGGCAAGGACTTGGGGACAAAGCTCCTTAAAAGAGTAGTAATCATATTCCACTCATGCTCCTTTTTACTGCCAGCTGTAAACTAGCTCCACATGCATCATGGTTTTGCATCAAAATGTGCACAGACCAAACCCATACCCAAAGGGACTAGGTAGATCCAATTTACAGCTTTGACAGGTCTGTGCACCTGAGGCAGAGCATGCAGGAAACAGCCTGACATCTCACTTGGAGAGCTGTTAAGGCCCTGCTTGCAGAAGTGGCTGCACAGCCACAAGAGTCTCCCACAAAGACCCACCAGAAGAGCAAGCAATTTGCCATCCATTTTTCAAGAAACGCAGGAGGCAGGCAGCTCACCAAGGCACTACTGGGGAAGAGAGGAGTCAGGTTTGACCCCAGCTTGCAGCATCCCTTTGACTGGACAAGCCCAAGGGAGGCAGCTGCACTGCAAAACAAACACACTGTATCGAGTCATTTCAGTAACGAGATAACCACACTGAAAACTGCTTAGCCTATTCGAAACAAAGCAAACAAAAGTTATTCTGACCCAATGCATATATTACCAGCAATACCCCTAAGAGGCCAATTGCTCAGCAGAGGAGGGTGAGAAGTCCAAGTTCAATTTAGAGACTCAAAAATTCTATTCATTTATTACCAACCCAACATTAGGCTTTTTAAAATTCTTTATGGCACGGTATTCTACTTTAAATGGAAAACGTAGGCCCATCCTGCTGACAACTGAAAATATATTTACTAATATGCTCTACGCTACTACGGAAGAACCTTCTGCAGAAAATCCCCTGTACTTCTCTATCTCTGTATGTCTCAAGTGGTAGGGCACCGGAAAATCTCTCTGAAACTGAACTCCTGTCTCATTACACTCCAGAGTTAACACACAGGCAAGATAACTTCAGCAAGACCAGATAGCTCCAAACTGTTGTTCTTCTCTACTTAGAAACACCATTATGTTGCACATATTCCTATCATTCAAACTTGTCTTTTTGTAAAGCTGTTGGCTACCAACAGCCTTTTTTCTTTGCAGAATCAAACAAGGCTGCCATGAGCACTCTACTAAAGCAGGTTCCCAGCCAAAAATTTTTAAATTCTCCCCAGTTCAGGCAGATGACAAGCACGCATGACTTAAAGATGTTTTCAATAACATGTGTTTTTGATAATATGTGATTTGTCACTTCCTTAATAGGAATCAGGCTCCTTCATTTCATTCCCACTGAATGGTCCCAGCATTGCTCCTGAGAAAGCAGGTGACTTGCAAGAGCCCAGGACCACCAACGGAAAGGAGGCGGGACAAACCAGAGAAAACAAGGGAACCAGCACTGTGCTTTTTCCTTCCAAGTAGCAGTAACTTGCAACGGGATAATTGACTATTTACCTGAGGATGAATCTGTGGTTTATCACATGTAGCCTCAAAATCCAGCACTAAGAAGTAGTGATATCTCTGTGGAGGGAAGGATGACATTGCTGCCATGGAAGCTCCAAAGCCGTGGGACGCCAGCTTCCTGCTTACGATGGAGCTGTACCCTTTGAGAGCACCAGCCGGGAGGAGAGAGCACACAGCTTGTCTTGCCCTTGGAAGTAAGTTTTGGGGAAACTTTGCTGCTCCAGTATGGAGGAGTGCTATCATTGAACATCCAGAGGCATCTGAAACTGAAGAGAGACTCACGTTACACATGCACACATACATCTCATCTCTGCTAGTATCTCCTTCTTCACTGTACTCCTCTGACAGGGATTTCCTCTGTGCTTCCTGGTGGAGGTTCCAGCATCACAAACCTGAAATAACTCAGCAACCTGCTCTGAGCACAACACATGACATTTGGACCGAGCTCAAGGTGTCCAGAATCATGGGCAACTGGAAATTAACCTCTGCAAACAGCTCTAAATTAAGAACTATGAGACACACAACAGTCATGGCTCCAGGCACCAATCACCCCTGCTTCCCACTGAACCTTATCATGGCAGAACACAAAACCACTTAAAACACAGAAAATCTGATCTAAACCCCATTGAAATTTCTGAGGAGACCTTCTGTCTTTTCATATACAATGCAACCTCTGACACACGGTAGGAATTAAATACTCGTATCAATACTACAACCCATCCAAACAGCTTGTCTCTGAAACACTTGTTAGCTGCACTGAAAACTCCCACTTCCATTACAAACTCCCGTGTCTGGTGGCTGGAAGGCTCCTCCCCAGGGAAGTTCTCATTTGCTCTGTGTATGAGGTTTCTCAGAGATGTGATTCTAGTGCTACGCTCAATCTCTTACGTCAGGTATCTCTCAGAGGAGATCAGTTCAACAAATCCACACATGAACTGCATTGACTGCAGTAACTGTAAAATGCAAGCAGGACTCCATAGGTTACAGTCTCCCTCCCAAAGAAGTATTTCACCCAGCCATCACCTTCTGATGCTTCTATTTAACAAACACTATTTAATAAATCACATTATCCATGTGAGACTACCTGGATTTCCACACCCCCTACCCTTCTTTTAAAACACCGCAGGAAAAACTTCACAGGACTGTCACTGCCCAAGGCAGGTCAGCCTTGGGGCTGTTAATAAGATTTATTGGGATGAGAGTTGAAGTCCAACTCATGGAGGTGTTACATAGCTGGGTACAGGGACGGACAGCAAAACAGGTAAATCGCAAAAACCCAGTCCTCTTCAACAAGGATATGAATAACCCCTCTAGTGTATATAAATATATATACACACACACACATATTTAAAACCATCCCCACGGTTGGTCCCACTGCTCACGGCTGTGGGCAAGAGCTCCGTTGCACCATGTGGCATCCACCCACCTAGTTTCTGAGCCCAGCCTTCCCCGTGCCTGCGCTCACTTTTCACTCTGCTGTAAAGGGTAGAAGCGCCCACCGTGACACATAGAGCCAAAACAGGCAAGGCAAAAGGGAGGACTCGTCACCCGCGAACAAAGTCGCTATTTGTGAAAAAGACAGCGCTTGCTCTCCCATCCATTAGTCCATCAAATAAATAATGCACGTGCCAAAACACACACTTAATGAGGTAAATATATGCCTCGAATAACAGCTAAATCTGTATTTACCTGCGAGACCAGAGAAACTCAGAAGGACCAGATTAGGAGCTAATTGCGGCTGGGCAGGTTGTGTGCTTCGAGTAAACATACATTTGGTAACCTTCCCTTTCCAAGGTTTTGAGTGAAAGGCAAAAAAATCAAAGGAGCTGAGATGTTTAAGACTGAGCCAGTGCCCATGCTTCCAATTCCATGGCATAAATACATCCCCACCTTACAGCTTTCACTTTTTGGGGGGCTGCTTGCTTTATTAAAGCAGGTATACCAGGCAGCAGGTACCTGGAAAACTGAAAACTCAAGTTACAAAACCGTAACAGAAGAGCCCAACATTGCATTTATCCTAAAGGGGCTCAGTTCTACCTATTACTTTTCCATCTACAGATTTTACTGCCATTAATAAATGCATTACAGCCAAATAGAAGTTAGTTATATTCACTTCTAACCTACCCCAGATAAGGGATATTTAAGGTATACATGCTTTAAATCTTCAAGCTACTGGCTATGAATCTAAAGACCCATCACAGCAAATATAGTATCTCAGAATAAGCAGCTTTTAAGCTAGTTGCAGTAAAACCTGGTCTGTAGCCTACTGTGTAAAACACACAGTTGCAGTGGGGGAGGCAGGCAGGCTCCAACCCCTATATCAAACACAGGCAACAAAACATACGTTATCCACCCACACACAGCAAGATCAGTACTTCCCTAATGTATCTTAACTGACAAGACTAAGGCATCGGACATGAACCCCACAAATCTTCAGGCTGGCCCACACCACGCATGACAGTGCACAGGTTCCCAAGCCACTGAGTCCACATGGCAAAGGTAAACTGGCCATCTCGGCAAGAGTCAGGCACGTCACCATGCAGACACAGCAGCACAACTCCAGACCCTGGCAGGTCTGTCTCACACAGGTACTGTGGGACATCAGCAGAGGGAAGTAACAGCCTACATCTAGTGCCTGTTTACACTAACAACTTCCGCAGGTGGTCCATGTCTAATGACAGGATCAGGCTCCCCACCCTAAAAGCAGCCTCCCTCCCCACTCTGCTGTGAAGCAGAGGGAGCAAAGCTCTCAACAAAGGTGTGCGACCAGGGTATTGTATGCTGATTCCTCTACACAGACGGCATACAAATAAGAGCAATCCCACGGCAAACTCCGCACCTTCAGCCAAATGAAGTTTTAACTGCATGTTTACCCAGCCACTGCTCTAGGTGCCCTGGGAAGACCTCACATCATCTTCTTTGGCAAGGTCAGAGTGCCTCAGAGCACAAGATAGCTGGTGAGCAAACATACTTTATTGGAAGTCATGTAAAGCATTTATAACGACTATGACAATGCAAAGCACTAGTAATTATCCCGTATTTTTTCCAACAGCAACAATGCAGCTTCAAAAATTAGAAACCCAGCTCTAACCATATAAAACCACATGTTCAGTGATTCCATTTCCAAACCTATGTAAAACACCTGCACACAGGGTCAGATTATAATCTCAGACGGTGCAAGCTGTCACATCTGGCATTCAGCCCTACAAGGTTAATATTTCATATCACACAGCTCCAGTTCCTCACACAGATATGTATGAAACATAATGGGACCACGAACTGAGAGGTTGGATCTCAGGAATTATTTTGACAGATTGTACACAGACCTAGGAAAATGTGGCAACTCTTTACATTTGCAACACCCAATAACATAGGAAAAGGCCACATGTGGCGGGTTTCAGCTGGAAGATAAAGTTTTTGTTATGTGCTGTGTAACAGCATGTGCCATATATGACCACCAGCTATAATCAGTAACTGTCTTTTAAAAATAATTTTAAAAAAATTAATCTCTGGATATCAGCTGCAGATAACAGGACAAGCTCAGGCTGACTACAGCTCTTGCTTGCTAGCAGTCCAAGCACACGATACTAAAGCACAACAGTTTGATCACCAGCAAGTACAGAAAGCCAAGAGAAAGGCAAGTGCCAGCTGTAGCACCGGCGTGCCAGGGTCCCACCAAGCGTGAAGCGGAGAATCTGCACCAGCAGCTGTTGTGCTCCAGGCTTCCCACCAAGGAAGCCACTTAGGGGCAACCACCAGCAGCAAAGAACAAGGTGGGGAACTCCTGCCACCTGAAGAACACTGGTCACAAAAGCCAGCAGGGCATTGCAAGCGCTCTCCCTCACCTGCAGGACAGCCCTAAAGGCACATACAGAGATGTGCACCATGCAAGTTGCAGAGGATTCAAACTCATCAACGGTGAGACAAATTAGTCGATGAACTTGAACTTCGTGGGCTCTCTGCACATAACATTAATATTTACTTTTTACAACCACATCTAATTAAAATCACCTGGCAGCAAGAGAAGGCATAACTTTTAATAACTTGCCTTTAACCCAAAAAATACTCCCCTTCACTGCCCAGTTTGATAAGCTGATGTAGGGAGGAGGCAAGAAAACAAACACCTAAGTTCAGGTTGGAGGGGTGACCCAAAAATGGTATGTTTTACAGGAGCTTCCACTTACATATTAAATTATTTTGTTATGGCAATATGATCCTACATCATATTAAAAGATAAACAAACAAAAAAAACCCACTAAATCTAAACCACTAAACTAATCTAAAGGACAAGATAAACTAAAATTAAAAAATAACAGCAAGCAAGCTTTGGGAGTCACATGCCTCAGTTTATTCCCTGTGCAAAGCCTGGGCAGGGGCAGCTATGACTCCTGGCCTCCGACAGACTCAAGGCTAGAGAAACCAAAACCTATCCAAAATGTAAGTCAGGTTTGTCTCATTTTATTAAATTATAGTGTCTTATTCTATTAAATTATAAAGAGTAAAAAGATAGGGTAATAAAGATGCTTTTTGTAGAACAAAATCACATACATTTAGCAACAGCTAAAACAGAATGTAACAAAAACATGGGACTTCATTTTGGTAGCTGTTCAAATGCATATTCAGAGGTCAAATGTGAGCCCATATTTCAGTTTTGTGAAGATATAACTGAAAGACAATAGACATAACTCCATTTTTTAAAAAAAGCCACCTTAACCTAAACCCAAATATTTCATTAGATGAACTAAAGTCCAAAAATGACAGCACCCGGCTAGTCTGAGAGGCAAGAAACGAGACTATGAACAAATCTAGCTTATCCACTGTCACCATCCAAACTTGCAAAAAAAACCCCCCTAATACACAAAGTAAAACAAACAACAAAACACAAAGATTTTAGAACCATTTTAATAATGCAACATAATTTTAGACAGGTAAATTTGCTTCTTTAATTTGTTAACCTCACAGTATCATCCCTTGAACACAAATGCAGTATGCTTCCACTGCTGCACTCCCTTCATTTTTGGCTGGGTCTGTCTCCAGCACTGCTAGACAACAAAGCCCATGTTTTGGAAAATCCATAACGTAACTTTCCCAAAGCACGGCCACACGATGCCTACATGCTGTCCCATCATTACTCAGCTCAGATACAACTTGGCATCAATAATTTTGTTGTTACAGCACTCTGCAATCACACCCAGCCTCTTCCCACTACAGATTAGGAGGTCCCTGTTCTCAGGAACTTACATTCTAAAATTGGATGCAATACAACAAGTGAGGGTAACAGGAGCAAAGTCAGGCAACCGCTCATCTGGGAGATACACGCATCTCAGTAGTTCAATTAAAAAAAAAAAAAAAGCACCCTATATAGGTACCAGCTTCCCTCTATATGGCCAGTACAGAAGAGAGAAGTGAACACAGAAAGGGTTGACTAAAGGATGGAGGGCACTGTCTTGGGTTAAGGAAGGTCTTTCCCATTTCTTGAGCTCATTCTTCCTGCTGCGTTCCTTGGCTGATATGTCAAAGGCACCACTAGATATGTCAGCTATGTCAAAGCACCAGAATCTCTTCCATTGTGACATCACAGACGTGACGGCTTGTGAGATCACAATGAGCAAGGCTGAAGGCGCTGATTACTTAGGGAAGCACTTGTTGGGGCTATCGCACCCTACGAGGCTGGGAAACAAACATATCTCAGTTCACTTGACAATACAGTGAAACCCGCAAGAGACTCCACACCAGCAGGACGTGAACTCGTCCAAACAGACCACCCAGAAGCCATCCCAAAGATGCACAGTACAATTCCACTCCAATTTTATTAGGCCACCTCTGCTAGGCAACCCACTCTCATCAGCTCCTTGACTGGTCTCTTAAGACAGGCTTTGCTGTGTATTTTTAAACCTCCTGCAGGAGTAACCGCGGATAGGCAAATGGGTCTAGCTGGAGTCTGAAGAAGTTCCACAGAATAAAGGGCTGGTCACTTAAGAGAAAATGTGGAAGAAGGAAACAACAAAAAATAAAAGAAAGACGCAACAACAGAAATGCAGACAGCAAAAGATTGGAAAGCCACAGTGGAAGAGTAGATTTGGTATTAAAGAAAACAACAGTTGCAGAGGATCGGACCAAGAATCCTGTAGTCCAGTCTCCTGCCTCTGCGTGGGAGCCATAAGAAAATGCATCAGGGTGAAACTACACAAAATGGGGTTAACCAAGCCAATAGTTCTGGGAGGCCAAAAGGAGGCAGGCCTGTCCTTCCCTCTTAGTCTTACCATGCTGATTATCTTACACCAGTTCCTGAGCTTGTCTGGCACTTCTGTGAGCTGATTCAACCACAGGAACCTATGAAAGGACTAATGCAGCCAGAATAAAACACAATTAAAACAAGATAGTTTCCTGCCAGCTTAGTGAGACGAATCAGTTTGGGGCCAGGCTGGACGAGTGCCAAAGCTCAAAGGAGAGGATGGGCCCACACTGGCAGAAGCGGCAGTGAGATGAGCCATTGGGAGCTGTTGGTCAGCTCAGCTGCTCACCAAACCAGGTACTTAGACCAGGACATACACCTGGGAGTAGGTATCTTGGCTCTAGCAGTATCAACACATAAAACTTAAAGTCGAAAAGCCCATTAGACCATCCTGTCTGAACTTCATGTAATGCTGGCCATAAAGTTTCCACTTCATTACTCCTGAATTGAGCCCAAAGGCCTGAACATCTTTCAGAAAAGTTTCTGGCCTTGAATTACAGCGTCAAGTATGGAGGCTCCCCACTACCTTCAGACAGCACATTCCAATGGTCAATCCATTCACTGTCAAAAGATAACACATCTTAGTTTTCATTCAAACTTTCCCAGCCCTTGTCTTGGAGCATGTTCTGAAATTTACGGCATTTCAGTGCTCTCAATCCACAGCAGAGCTCCCAGTGCCAGAAGTAAGAGATTTGTAGCTGCTATGCTTCTTGTTAGTAAAAGCTGCTATTGCATATTGGCCTAATTTAGTGGAAAGGAGACATAGCAGGCCACCCTTTGTTTAATGGAATCTAGCATGCATAATTACTCAATTTTCACACACGAATGCCACACTTGTTCAAACGACTCGTACAGCTGCACACCTTCGTTATCTGAAAAATGAACTTCAAGGTTAACACCTGAGAGTGCCAAATGAATCTCAGTCTGAATTCAGCAAGACAATGCTTGCATTGCTCAACACACTGGTCACTTTTGATCTTCACAAATGAACTCCAGAAGTGCTAAAAGAAAGTCTGTACTCCGCCAAAGTTCTGTCCTGGTAGACAGGCAAATGCTCTAAGCAGAGTAGCAGCTTCAATGGGGCATGGTTCCCACACAACCCAGTCTCAGTGAGCCTGGAAAACCAGCCAGGGAAGATGTTGACCCTAACACTCAACCACAGAAAAAACAACAACTATAACAAAGAGCTGAAAAAAAATGCTTGCCATTCCACCACACTTATATATTAGCTCAGCACTACTCTCTCTGCGATGACCATTTCCAGCAATAACACATGCTTCAGATCCAAGGACAGACTTGTGACAAATGTGTAGCTGCTTATAGCCTTCACTGTTCTCCTGTAAGTACAGCCACAGTGGCTGGTCCTACTCCATTTACCTGAACTTCACCAGACCTGTGCTTTACAGATTTGTGGCCTTTTGCTGGAGGTGGCTACTGTATTGATACAGAGGCAGACTCAAGTGCAAAAACTTCATGCATCTAAGTCTCTTGCAGAATTCCATTTCCAAAACTTAAGGGGGAAAAAAATAATATTAAAAAAAAAAAATCAAGGCCTACCAATATTAACAGAGCCAAAACAAGATAAGCACCAAAACAGCTGTAATCGGGCCTCCTAAAGAAATCAAATTGAAGTTAAGTATCTCTCAACCGCAGAGCAGAAACTTTAGGTCATATCAGTGTATACTCAATCCAAGGACTTCTTTATTTGGCATCAACCAGACAAGCATTTTCTTTTTAATGCTTTAATGAGTTTCTTCTTCTGGATTTTGGTAACACTCAAATCTGTCTGGCTATACACGTGAACTTTTTTTAAAAAAACAACAAAAAAAAGAAAACCCCAACAAACCCCAATACACCATTCATGTAGAGCAATCCGAAGTTTGAGATGACCAAGAACCATAAAAGGGCCAGTCTATGAAACAAGACAAGCATTTAGTCCACACTACAAATTAACATGAAAATTCAGTTGCAAAGGCCAGAATTCCATACTTGAAAAGGGAAATAAAAACATCTGAAATCAAATTTCCCAAGCCCACACACTGAAAAGTAACCAACTGGGCTTCTAACACTTTACTTATTTTAAGAATAATTTTTTCTTGGAAATAAAAGTTCAAACACCAACTTTAACATCAAGTGATAGGAGATGCTACAATGTTGCAAGAGCAACTAAAGGATAAAATAAATTCAAGTTACCATTAAAAAAAAAAATCAATAAATAAAACTCTCAAACAAGTGTCTAACAGCATCTGATCATCTAACAGCACCTTCGAGATACACCTGCCCAGAGCCCAGCATACTTCATTCTTCCCAAGGCACAGTGCAAACATTAACCTATCAGAAAACTTGCTGGTCCCTAGCATTGTGGCTGAAAGAATATTAAAGACTTCAGAGTAAGCAGCAGCTGTCAATCCACCCATTTCTGAAATCAAAAGCTCAGTAAGGAAAACAGGTAAGTAAAGAAATAGTAAAACAAATGTCAGACTTATTAGTCGGGCCAGCAATGACCAAGTAAATCCAGCAGACACAGGACTTGTAAAAGACAGAACACAAGGAGTAAATGACAACACCTTTTCATACATCTCAGTTTAAGAAGAAACACCTGTAACAGTACAGCAGCACAAAAAGAACAGAAGAAGAAATTCCTACTGCCAGTCAAGAAACAAGTAAACAGATTCTACACTCCTAAGCCTTCTCAAGTTTATTTCAGTCTCAAGATCTGAGACAGGTGACCAGTTCAATCTCCGAGGATAAAAAAACAGGGGGGAAAAAAAAATAATCAAACCTCCTAACCCCATCACCTCTGTCTACGAACCTCCATATCCCAAAAGGAACGTGAAAAACCCCTGTTGCTACCACCTCTCGCTCAGCCCACGCACTCCCCCATTCCCTGGGTAGGCAGTTTTTTCCCTTCATCAAGTCTTAACAGCAAGTAATCCCGCTCCAGCTGGGACCTGGGGGACCGCTGCCACTGTGACCCTCGAGACTTCCACCCGAGACAGAGTCCAGCGAATGGAGGGCCTGACAGCCCGGAGCTCCGGCAGAGAGGAGCCGGGGCTTGGCGTCGAGCGGACGAAGTGCCACCACGCCTGCCCGCAACCACCCCGCACCCTCCCCTCGGGCCGGG